ATGTTGAACGATTTATTTTCAATTGCGTGAATTCAAACTGACTGCTGTCAAGACTGATAAAAAAAATTGTACGTCTTTTATTAAATGACCATTCCGTGTGTTTCTTAGTTTAGGTCTCTCGCTATAAGTAGTTCGTTTTAATCTATCTATCTATCTATCTATCTATCTATCTATCTATCTCAGTCGATATATTCTTTCTTTTGGTTCTCATTATTTACCTATCTATGCGTCTCAGTTCATTCATTATCACTATTTCTGTCTTTCTATCTCAGTCTATATATGCATCTATCTCAGCGGATATATTAACTTTTACTTTCTTTCTTTCTTTCTTTATCTATCTATCTATCTATCTATCTATCTATCTATCATTTTCGCCTGATGTACCTTTCTATCTATTTATGTATCTCAGTCAATTTATTATCACTGTTAGTGTGTCTGCCTGCCTTGCTCTCTCTGTATCTATGCATCTCAACCCATATATTCTTTCTTTCTTTCTTTCTTTCTTTATCAGCCTATATAGTATCTATCTATCTATCTATCTATCTATCTATCTATCTATCTATCTATCTATCTATCTATCTATCTATCTATCTATCTCAGTTCATTCATTATAACTGTCTGTCATTAACGCTCTATCCCAGTCTATCTATATATCTACCTCAGCTTATACATTAACTCTTTCTTTCTCAACCCATATATCTTTTCTTTCTTTCTTTTTCTTTCTTTCTTTCTTTCTTTCTTTCTTTCTTTCTTTCTATTTATCTATGTCAGTCCATTCATTATCACTGTTAGTGTGTCTGCCTGCCTTTCTCTCTATCTATTCATCTCAACCCATATATTCTTTCTTTCTTTCTTTCTTTCTTTCACTATCTCTCTCTCTCTCTCTCTCTATCTATCTATCTATCTATCTATCTATCTATCTATCTATCTGCATGTACATATACATATATATCGGTTCATTTATTATCTCTCTCACTGTCTCTATCGGCTTATCTAACCCCATTATTTACCTCGCTCTATTGTTTCTTCTTCTCCATTCGATGTAGAGATTTCTTCTTGGTATGTTGAATAAGTTATTCGATTTTTTTATATACATTTCTACTTATATCTTAATTTCTAAATTAAAACATTTTTTTAAAAAAACAAACAAACTCAAATAACTTATGTATTCAAAATACAAAGAAGAAATCTCCACCTCTTAATTTATTAATTTACAAAACACTTTCATTGATTACAAAACTAGTAGGGAATACTCCAAACTAAATATCTGCAATTCAGCTCTGTTTCCTAAACCCTTGACCGTTGTTGTCGAAAAGAAAATTCTCAAATCAAGCCATTACATTGACACTTCAACCATCCTTCTCCAAACTGCTATCAACAACCATTATTGTTCCCCTCCGTCAATTTTTTTGCCTTTATTTTTTATTTTCTATTTTTTTCAAACGAATGGAAAAAAGGAATTGACGTTTTACAAGCGTCTTGCTTACAAACAGGATTGTTCATAACCATTTTGGTTCTCAACTGTCGAAGTGCAATTTTAAATGAACTGAAACGAAGTTGCATCTTTGTAGTGAGTAAATTGTTTTTGTCTATATGAAAAAAATTATAATAAATGATTATTGCTCTACTATCAGTATTGAGCTCTCTTTTGAACTAATGCTGTAAACGTCAGAATTTATATATTATTTTCGTTCTCATTACATTCGGATATATATATATATATATATATATATATATATATATATATATATATATATATATATATTGTTATGGTCCAGGTTAGGATCAAGGATGAACAACACGAACACAAGAGTAGAAATAACGAAAGTATATTACACGAAATAATAATACAAGATGTGGAAGGTGTTAGTATGACTGTCAGTCTGGTTTGGAGTGACCTACTATCGGCTCGACTCGATTCGTTCTCTCTCTTGAGAGGCGTAGTATACATAGTGTTAGGAAGAGTTCATTCTGTAGTTATAGGTAGGACCCATGACATATATATATATATATATATATATATATATATATATATATATATATATATATATATATAATTTTCAATAAAAATTACAGAATTTGGGTGATCAGGGACACAATCCAAAATTCTAAATAATTATACTGGATACACTACAATATGCCTAACAAGAAGAATCACATTACATCTCTTTGACAATAGCTCGATTAGGTCTCATTTAAATACACATGGAGATGTACCAAACTACATCCGCAACACACTTGTTGATAATACAAATATGATAGCTGCATCCACATGCAATAAGGATAAAAATAATGGAAGCATTAATGAAGAAAAAAAAAACAACACACAATAATATCAACTACGAACACGGCCACAATATGATGACCGTATTTGAAAGTGAACCATTTTTATAACTCTACATACATACACAAAACAATCCATACATTCATTTAAAAATAAAAATAAAATTACGTATGACAATGGCTAAAAGTATAGCTGAATGTACTCCGACATGCAAAACATTTGGACAATTTTTACATAATTCATGTCTAGAAAAGAAGATAATTATAAGAACACATGAAAAGATATAATAAAAACTTGTTTGCAGTACCTTATCAGCCGTTTTAATGAAACTTGTATCAAAGAGGGACTGCTTTAAATATATAATATATATATATATATATATATATATATATATATATATATATATATATATATATATGCCAGTACCTCCATTAGAGAAATTATAGTTCCATTTCCTAGCAAGTGCTTTGCTATAATAAATTACGTTATCAGAGAAAACCAAACATAGTTTTATGCATATAAGTTCTTTTAACTATTGAAAGAAGATGCATTTATTTTAAATATAGAAAATTACCATAAAAGATAACATCATTTAAATAAAACTTCATATAATTCAATCAATACTGTACCCACTTTCTCTAGTTTATCAAATAAGTAAAAAAACAAACAAAAACGAAGTAAATATATATATAAATATATATATATAAAATATATATATATATATATAATATATATATATATTGGTAACAACTGTAAGCAACCACTCCTCAACGCAAAAACAAAGCACTGATTGTCTGACTGATTGCTTTCTTTTCTGTTCAATAATAAAGCGACGAAATGGTTTCTCATGAGAACGTGTGGTCAAATTTAAGCGGGAAATTCGGGGACAGCTAGTAACGAGAATATTTTTTTTTACCCGTGATTTTTCTTGTTAAGTGCTTCAATATTAAGCTTCGATATAATGAGGTTTCGTTCGCAATGCAAACGTAAAACGTGGTATTAGTGTATTTGTTTGGGCAAGTCTCGCTCGAACGTGAACACCTTCATATTTTTATTGCATTTTCTATTTCTTGTCACCATTCATAATTTTCTGTTGTCATTTGAAGACATGAAGGCCTTAGGCAATACTTTCAACTCTTTCTCTATTTGGGTAGAAAATGTACAGTACTTAAAATGAATAGTCTTACTTCAAAAAGGTCTTAAGAAGACATGTTGAGACATTGATATTTTGTAATGGCTTCCAAGAGAAAAGCATTATGAAACAAAAGACAAAACGAAAATGGCGGGAAAAAAAAATTGAAAGACCGTCAATCGGTAACATGCTTCAGATTTCGAGTTATTTATTGATTTTTTTTTCTCGTTTGCTCCGAGATTTCCGAATTGCGTCGTTTCCAAACTGCTTTTTTAGTTGTCTGTAATTGTCTCGCTTCAGACTAACTTGTAAAGATGTCATGTTGTGGAGTACATTCAGTTCAAGAGGAAGAAAATACTTAAGGCAAAAATATTAACAGAGGAAGAAAAGAACTTCTAAAAAAAATCTTAATAGTTATCCGGACTGACACCTAAAAGAGATTAACAGGACTAATAATAATAATAATAATAATAACAGGAACAACAACAACAATAATAATAATAATAATAACAACAATAGCACAAACAACAACAATAATAATAATGATAATAATAATAACAGCAACAACAACAACAACAATAATAACAAAAACCACAACAACAACAATAGCAATAATAATAATAAATAACAATAACAGCAGCAACAAAACAACAATAATGATAATAATAACAAAACAGCAATAAAAATAATAATAATAATAATAATAATAACAACAGCAGCAGTAACAACAATATTAATAATGATTATAATAATAACAAATACAGTAACAACAACAACAGCAATAATAATAACAGCAGGTAGGTTATTATTACTTTTACTGTTTAAACACGGACAGCCATTAAAAATGAAGTTTATAATAATAATAATGATAATAATATATTTGTGAGCTTGCGTATGTGTGCATGTTTATGTGTTTGTAAAGCGATTTAAAGTGTAAAATTAAGATTTACTGGTCCCAGATGTTTTGTCAACACGGTTCGAGTTGGCAAAACTATAGTAGTAAGTAGCAACTAATTTGTATCGTAAATCCAATCTTACTGTGTTTTATATCGAGTATTTTTTTGTTGCTGCAGCCGTTCCCGAGGCGCTAAAGTTGCTATCAACACTGTGTCTCATTTGAATAACAGTATAAGATATGCAAATGACAGAGTGTTGATGGTTGTCACAGAAATGAAACTGCATAAAAAAAATGTAGTAAAAGAAACATGACACAGTGGATAAAGGCGTTGGTTAGATCCAATGACAGGACCCAAAGTGTGTGAGTTCAATACCTGGTTAAAGCAGTGGAGAATTCGGAGAGGGGAATTAACAGGAGATAACTGATAACTGACATCCATTAGACAAGGCACGTGGAACTAGAACAGTCTACCCCAGTGAGCGAAATAAAGGGTTCAGTTCGACATTCCAACCACCGGAGCGTACAATGGCCGAAACGTTGTAATAAATATGGCGACAAAGATGTTGACAATAGTCCAAATAATGTAAATAGTGTAGTAAAAGAAAGTGAGAAAAAAAAGGTCTAATTATCAAGTGTAATAAAACATGTATATCAGTTTGTCAGGACGGGAAATATACCAAGATGCAAACATGGAATTTGAACTATTTACACTATTTATATTCTCCGAACTGTTTCCCTCATCTTTTACTGTCATATTTGCGACGTTTCGGCCGTTATAAGCGCCGGACTTCTTTAGGTGATATTTGTTGAAATTCGACCCGTCACCTATATTTAGTTCACGGACTAAATAAAGGGTTCCTTTTGAAATAGTAAAATTTACTTTGACATTGAAATTGTAAGGAACCCCTCTCTTATTGTACACGAACATTGTCAAAAATCCATATAGACGCTCTTTAGTCTTGGTTGGATATCTATCAAGAGATGGTTTTTCGAGAAAAAGCCAAAAATACATAAACAAAAACAAAACATAAATTTAATAAATAAAGAGAGCGTCTACTCGGATATGAGTATCCACTAAAAATAATGTCCAAGTAATAAAATCTGTCAGATTAATAAACAAAAATCCATTATCTGATTGTATATATATATATATATATATATATATATATATAAATATATATAGGCAGAAATAGAAATTTATAACCGATTTATATGATGTTTAAACGTTTTTATGATGTTTTGTTTTATATATATATATATATATATATATATATATATATATATATGTTTTAATTCTTTGAGGAAGATTTAATAAAAGCGAAGCATGTTATATCTATAAACGTTTACTATTTGTTACTTATCCTACGAAATATATATATATGTATGTGTGTGTGTGTGTGGGGGGATCAAAATTAAGTTTAATTAAATCCCACCAACAAGGCCTGTCTATTCAACCTTTTTATTGTATCTTTCCAATTTCCGAATGAGACGTTGTACACCGGGATTGAATTCATGAATAAATTATCCCAAGTTCAATTTTTTTTTTTTATATTTAAGTACTTTCGACTATTTCAGTAATTTTCAAGAACTGGGTGTTGTCAGTATGCCAAGCCAGATTTT